AACAATCCAGCGATACGAGCCCGAGTATATTTGGGTAATCCCTCAAGGTATCGAGGATAATCGTAACAATATAACAGGTGATAGCAGCACCCATTTTATTTAACTTCGCCTCACGGNGGGCATCGTTAGCATTTATTTAACAATCCAGCGATACGAGCCCGAGTATATTTGGGTAATCCCTCAAGGTATCGAGGATAATCGTAACAATATAACAGGTGATAGCAGCACCCATTTTATTTAACTTCGCCTCACGGCTTTATGGCTGAATTTCTTTATTCATTCTGAACGTTTGGAATAAACTTTTTTGTTTACTTATTCTTTAGAACGTTCCTCCTGTGAAATGGGATTATCCGGAATGTATAAAGAAACGCAGCCCATATGTCAAATGGCTGCTGCTGATTCATGCATGATAAAAATATAGTAAGGTAGAACCGCTGAGAGNTTTAAAATTCTTGACGTTTCCAAACAATTAAATTTTTAAATTTACTCACAAACTCACACACACATTTTCATTTTCAACCTCAAGCAACAACAATTTCGAACAATTTCAATCTTTTATTTTCACTTTTATATGATTTTAAAATGTTGGCAAACTTCAAAAAAAAAAAAATCATGGCCGACAAATTGAGAGAACGGTGCTATGTTTTTATCATGGATTCATGATGCAATAATACAAGGTGTTATTAGTTGGCAACTTCTCGTTCCAATTCCGCCATATTGACTGCCTTACGTGAAACAGTGTTACTTCTTTAACTATTCTTTGCCCATTAATATAGTTGAATGTTTTTTATTTTTTCTCAGTATACATACTTTGTTTTCTTAAAAAGGTATTTTATCTTATTTTATTTCATTTCATAACGAATATACTATTAAAAAGCAAATTTTGTTTAGGAGAAAATGTGAAATTTTATATTTTTCCCCCATATGGGGATTCATTTCTTCCCGTTTTTCTTCTCATTCTACTGAGCTAAGGCAGTGTCAAATCGAGCTGTCACAACTGATACCACCTTGTATTATTGCATCGTGGAATTATACAAGGTGTTGTACGTAGTGACAGCTCATGTCGACAGCTCCCTTACAAAAGGTTGTAATATGGAAGCACGAGAGAAACGGGAAGAAAAAAAGCCCGCTTTGCGAAGTAGTACGAAATTTGGTACTATTTTTCATATAAAATTTTGCATATAAATAGTTACAAACGGTATATTATGATAAGCTAAATTCGCGAAAGTAGTATATATAACGTAGTACTTATGCAATAAATGGTAATTTAGTTTATTAAACACAATGTCCTATAATTATAGTCAAACTTCCAAAACCAAAAAATTAGTGGTGACCCCGAGTCGTTACAACATGACGGAATCGACAAAAGGGCGAATCGACGGATGGGGAGAATATTTCATCGAACAAAATGCCAACTAAAGATGTGGAGCTTGCATCGCAATGCAAGCTGCGACCGTTCTGAACTGAGATGACAGACAAATGGTTTCTACAAATTGAGGCCACCTTTCAGTCGTACAAGACCACATCTTATGTCGGTAAATACAATCTGGTTTTCTCAGCAATTAGCAGCGATGCTTTAAAGGAAGCTGCGGATTTTTTAAAAACCTTACCAACTCAAGACCGATATATTAACCTCAAAAGTCAACTACTGTCACGTTTTACTGATTCAGCCGACCCACATAGGGTATTTGGCTGATTTAGGCATATTTTTATCGCTACAAACATCAAATATAGTTTTAGTTATCGAATAAAACATTCACTATAACTACCCTGTTACTAATAGAAAATTCAATCGTAGTGAAATCTTATTTATTGTCAATATTATTGTGGCTTATTAACATTTGTTTCCATATTGTTATTGAGCTTTGTAGCACTATTATGTTTTTAGGGAAAAGGGAAAAAGCAACAAAGTCTTAGCGGTAGAAGTTACCAAAAAAACAGTTATATCGTTGGAAAAGCAGGGCCAGTGGCAGTGAACCACAGACGGGATTGCAGCAGCAAAAATCACTGGGGAATAGATGCATAGTTAAATACGTAGTTCTTGTTTAAATCTTCCATCTAAACTTACCAAGAAAACAGTTATATCGTTGAAAAAGCAAGGCCAGTGGCAGTGAACCACAGACGGAATTGCAGCGGAAGGAAGCACCGACCAAAATAACTACAAATCCTTGGGGAGAACTCTAAACCGATGTTTTTTTGCCGAATTAATGTTGAAATTTCTAATTTAATTTTCAGTTGCCAACGATAAGAATAGAGTAAATGTCAAAGAATTGTTCAGCGATTGCAAATCAGTTTTGGAATAGGGAATGAGGTAGTTTAGTACTTTTTTAAAGGCGATAAAATGTAGTTTTTTCAAGAGGGAAACACTGATATAGCTAAGGGAGCCAAGATGGCGGATTAGAGCGAGAACGCTGTCAATATCCAACACCTTGTATTATTCCACCATGGTATTATTGCATCATGCTGTTGATTGGTTGGAGCAGTTGATCGTTTAATGTTTTCTGTTCTCTTTCACACCCTTCGTATGAAAATTTTGACAGTCCTCGCCGCAAAAGCAAAAACAAAATGCATGTACATTTTGTTATTGGCGTACCGATACCACCTTATGACTGCTTTTACACAGTTCAAGTATTGAATTCAATTCTGCTCGCATGTGGAAGAGAGGGGGTGAGAAGAAAAGGGACGAGTACACATGCGTCTGTACCGTCAAGTCGTTTCAACTTTCTTGCTTTGCTTTTGGCATTTTCGTTGATTCCCATTTAAAGAACCAAAAACTTGAATTCAACAGAATTGAAACGTGTAAAAGCAAATAGAAAACACAAAAGAGAATGAGCAAGAATTGCTTTCAAGTACTTGAATCATGTAAATCGGGTGTATTGAATACGCCTTGGAACTGGAATTAGGTATGCCAGTGGCAAAAATATATCGATGTTTTGTTTTTGATCCGATGCATCGAAATGTACATCGATATTTTTCGATGCATCGAAGGGCATACATCGATGCATAAACTGTGACGACGGTTCAATATACTAAAAATGTCAGTTTTCATAAAACATCGATGCATTGATACATCGACTATTTATCGTGAAAGATTGTCGTAAGCGCAATTTTGACGATTTTTAGTGCTAGATGCAGTTATATGTTTTGAAATAAGGTCTTTCTATTGAGGTTGTCGGTTTTTAGAAATAATAGATTGGCGCTTACACATATGTTAGTGTTTGGCCGAGCTTCTCCGATTTGTGGCGTGCGCTTTGATGTTGTCACACAAAGCGGAGGGACCTACAGTTTTACGCCGACTCCGAACGGCGATTGTATTTTTATGAGAAGCTGTTTTTCATGGCAGAAATACTCTCGGAGGTTTGCCATTGCCTGCCGAGGGTCGACTGCTGTTAAGAAATAACCGTTTTTCTATATTTTTTGCGATGTTGCTTTGACCAAGGTTTGAAACCAGGCGTTGCGGAGTGGATACGCGCACTGCTTACTGCTTACATCTTTGTCGATAATTTAGTAAAAAGTTAGTGATGCAGACATATTAAACGAATCAATATCTTAAAAACAACCTTCTCCATTTTTGGATATCCTCTTTAGTTTCCGAGATATTGGCCCGTAGTCATAGTCAAAATAAAGTCGACTTTAAAGTTAGTTGCAGCTTTTTTGACAGATATCCCATTGAAAATTATGTCAAAAAGCTGCAACTAACTTTAAAGTGGACTTTATTTTGACTATGACTACGGGCCAATAACTCGGAAACTAAAGACGTAAATGACGTTTACGACAAAATTTTACTAAAGGTAATCCGTCATAAATTGAAAACTAATTAACAATCATAATTAAAAATTAAGAAATTTAAGCATTTTTTGAACTAGTAATATATTCAGCGACCTTGGGGAAAATCTATCTTCGCGTTTTTGAGAAACTGCATTCCAAACTTCAATCGCGATTTTCCACAACCTGGCGAAATTATTATACGACGATTTTTTACCCAGGCGACGTTATGCATCGAGTGGAAAACTTTCGGTGCAACGAAGCAAAACATCGATATTTTCGATGCGTCGATGTTTTTCCGACTTCCCTAGCTGGAATCAGTTGGTGTAGTAATAAGCGGAAAAAGTTGAATAAGGAAATAGATTTAGTAATTTTTTGATAACCAAAAGTGCAAATATTGTGAAAATGTGCGGAGGATTTACCTGCTCGAAAAATGCGCTAATTGCGTTGAACATTTTGTATGTGGTAAGTATTTAATTTGGCCTTCCTAACAGTGTGGGGTAATATCCCTGCTTATGCTGTAGTACTTGCATATACGGGAGCACCAAAAGGATCCAAAATTATCGATTTTTACACTTCATGGTATGTACATTGTTTGGTTTGTTTGCAGATGGTGGGATTCCTGTTGATTGGAGTTGGCATTTATGCACGTGCCGCCTCCATAGTCACAAATTTACCGATTGTGGGTGGAATTTTAGCCTGCGGTGTAATATTGATATTAATTTCCATACTTGGACTGGCAGGTGCAGTGAGGCATCACCAAGTTATGCTATTTTTCGTATCCTTTGCAAACAAAAAAAAAACTTTTGTATAGAGAGAACGTAATGTCAAGGTGGTAGTACATAGCATGTTACATAGTTTTATAATCGCATTACTATTATTTGTTTACCTACGAAGGTGATAAAAAGTAGCCAGTATACGCGCGATAAGCATCATATGTATGAGCGTTCTTTTTCATTTGCATTAAAATGTATAAAGTACCTATGTACCTAACTGATATTAATACAGTGTACCAAAAAAAATTTAGCTGGTTTCGACTATTTAAATGTTGTACGTAATACTTGAATTTAACTTTTTATTCATATAGGCAAATAGATTTCAATTTAATTCCGCCCGCCTTTATTATATCAATAGACGGCGAAAAGGCTATCGCTTTACTTGACCTCAAAATCTTTAAATTAAAATTCAAAAGTGGACGCTCTTTACTTCATAATAGTTCCTGAGCTACAAGTTAATTAATTTCAATTGAATTAACTTGAAATAAGTTTTGCGCTACATATGTACATAATGTGATGTATGTACCTTCATATTGCACAAATCTATCAAGTTCAATAATTTATGCAAATAAAATATCTTGGTATGGTTTCCTTAACATAAATATAACAGTACATGATTATCTTGTTTATTCTATTCATCATTCAATTCTCCATTGCAAGCTCTTGTTTAGCTGTCAGTTCTGAACAGCAAAAAGAGTTCGCTGAAGAAGGCTGGAATAATGTACCGGATTCTATGCGAAAACAAGTGCAAGATACTTTTCTCTGCTGTGGCTTCAACTCAACTAATACTGGAATGTCCTGTGAAGCTGTAAATAAACAATGTTGTCCTAATTTAATTAGTGTTTGCTCGTGCGCACCTTGCTTACCCGCATTGGAGGATAAGATCAATTATGCTTTTAAGTTATGTGGCGGTTTGGGCATTTTCTTCAGTTTCACTGAGGTAAGTGGAGTGAATTTTAACTTCTTTATTATGATTAATATGTAATACATATTTTAACATTCTAATTAATTAATTCTTCTATTTGCATACGCAAACTTTTAGTTTATTGGAGTTTGGCTTACAGTGCGTTATCGAAATCAAAAAGATCCACGCGGTTTGCCGAGTGCATTTCTATAAAGTCTTATGCACCACAAGAGCGTATTCAATCAATAATGAATAACGTACTAACATATACTAATACGCGTTCATACATAATATAGAAGCCATCTGATTTCTATAAATCATCTCTTGATTATATAAAAAACGAAACCATCGTTTTAGGTTTTGAAGCATTTATATATACATAGGTACATGTAAAACATTCCTACATAATTAAGATAAAAAAATCATATTCCCACACAAACATACAATATTTGTTAAAATGTGCTAAAAGCGTACACATATATGAAAATACATATTTATAATGTCAGTGTTCACCCTTCCCTGGTTATCAGGTTATATGGTTAAAAATAATTTTTCTGTAGTGTATTTTATTGTTGTACAACAACATATGTATTGTATTTGTAAGTATATTGTATTGCATTGTACAATAACAAAATGCACTACAGAAAAATTATTTTTAACCAGATACCCCGGCTAACCAGGCAAGCGTGAACTGCTTGTTGAATTTAGCCTTTTACACAAGCACACGGGCAGAATAGCGTATTTAAAAGAATGACAGCGACATCTTTGGCGTTTTTTAAACAACTGATAATTCTAGATTTAAAGCCCTATATAAAATTTAACCGTCACGACCAATAGTATTTCAATTGGGCATGAAATTAACAACATCACCTTATACTTACAATTACAATACAATATGCAGCACGTTTTTACAGCGATTGGAAGCGAATAATGCATCGACTTTCCTCTAACATCAACAATATTTACTTATGTATTTACTGAAATACTTTGGTGAGCAAAAATTATATCACTATTTAGTTACAGATATGATTATATCGGAAATTTTTGTTAAACGTTCTTTCTTTCTTCCATCCGTTTTAAAAAGATATTTGGTTTCAAATTCAATTTGTTTTTTCTTTCATTAAGCGCTTTTTGGAGTTTTTTTTTAGGATTTAAATATGAATTTTACAAAGCCTCTACGGTTTTAGCAATTTTGATGTAGTGAAAAAATTATGATTCTTTTGGAAAAAGTAACCTGCTTTACACTAAAACAAAAGCCCTTCTTCATACATTTGGTCACTTTCAGGGCTTAAAATTTGAGAACACTAGGTTTTAGAGGCATTCAGAACTATTTAATTTTTACATACATATTCGATATGCGTACCAAAGTTTTCTAACGTTTGTTATGTATTGTCCGGTCAATCGTACATTGCGTTAATTTTTTGCCGAGCTACAGAACATTTTATATAAAGCCACAATTTATATCTACATTTTAAATAGTCGATTTTAGACTTCAATCTGAAGTACCCTTAAGGAAAGGCTTTATAATCGTTCCCACGACAGTCGGGACTACGTAACCGGAACGACCCAGATTTATATCTGGCCAAGGACTGTCACTCCAGCAACACTCCCCAAAATCTCTTTGGGGAATTTGTATGCTGTGACAACAACAACAACAACAAAGGCTTTATAATAACATGGGAGATTCACGTCAACCATTTCACACATTCTTTTTATTCTACTGAAACTTATAACTTACTATAAACCTTAATAACAAATTTCACAAGGTGTCATAAAAAAAAACTTTCTATCACACCTGAGAAAGTCGTTATGTTCACAATAATATAAGCCAATTATAAATCTGCGTTTTAAGGTTTTAACTAACATGCACGCATCTTTTAGAATTACATATTTTGTAATTTTTCAAAAATTATGTATATTAATTCTATAAGGGCATATGTACAGTGACTCAAACTAATGAGCACGTGTCGATTTTTTTTAATTTTTGTAATATTTTTCGAGCTAAATCCAAGCTTTAACCAAAAAGATTCATGCTTTCTTACAAAATTTAGGAAAATTCAAAAAATGTCCATTAAAATTTCAACTTTTTAATCTGAATCTATAGAACATTATGGATATGCAGTTTTATATATAGCCCATATAATTTCAGTCTAATGAAGTGTAAGTTTCAACCGGCTCGCGTTGATTTTTGAATTTTTTGTTTTTGGAGACTGCTTCTGCGGTTTTTTTTATATAACAAGTGCATTTTCAAAAATTGGCGCTGATTTTTTGAAATTTTGTCGCTAGCGGTCTATTTCATAAGAAATTCATGCTTATATAGGAAAAGGTGCAAAAATCCATAACCAAAAAAGAAATTCTCAAAAATCCAAGAGATTTTTTTAGCTTTCATTAGACTAAAATTGTATGGGCTATAAAACTGCATACCCAAAAATGTTCTAAATATTCAGATTAAAAAGTTGACATTTTGATTAAAATTCGCTGAATTTTCCTAACTTTTATACAAAGTTTGATACTGTGAGTTATATAGTTTTGGTTAAAGCTGGGACGGTTTTTAATAGAAAAGTTATAAAAATACTTTAGCTCGAAAAACATTACGAATATTTAAAAAAATCAACACGTAGTAATTCTTTATCTCTCTGAAGTTGGCAGGACAACTTTTTCCAATACGAAAATTCCTATCGGATAATTTGCCGTCAATTGTCCGTAAATTATCCGTGAAAATAATAATTTTGCCGCGGACATATTTTAACAAGTAAGAAAGTCTAAGCACGGGCGCAGCCGAACATAAAATACATGGCGCAAATATTAAATATATGTTTTTCACCATTCCGAAAGCTACCGCTACATGGTAAGCTGGGGTGTATCAATTTTGAGGAAGTTAGCGTCCTTAAGTTTTATGTTCAAGTTTCAAGCATTTCTGAAATTTACCATCATATGAAAAGCCGTAATTTTAGTCCGATTTCAATAATTTTGAACGTTTTGCTTTTATGTGGCAGGCACAATAACTATACCCAGTTTGGTACAAATTGGTAGTAGGTTACCGAGATACATATATGTGATCATAAGTGGGCGGTGCCACGCCACTACCGCTGCATGGTTAGCCGGGGTGTATCGATTGTGAGCAGGTTGTCCAGATTGTTAAAAAAAGCCCAATTTCTGAATAAAAATCGCCTATTTTTTAATAAAATTCATGAAATCGATTTAACAAATCTTTTATTTAAAAAATGAGATCTTTATACCCGAGCGCACTTGTGCACAACGGTATTATAACTTTGTTCACATAACGATTGTTTGTAACAGGCAAAACGAATCGAGATAGATATAGTCAAATTGTACACAAATGATCAGAATGAAAAGAGAAATCGATTAAGCAGTGACTGTCTGTCCGTCCGTCCGTCTGTGCACACGATAACTCGAGTAAAAATTGAGATATCTTAACGAAACTTGGTACGTGCCCTTATTTCTGGCGTATTGTGCTTGCCACATAAAAGCAAAACGTTGAAAATTATTGAAATCGGACTAAAATTATGGCCGCTTTTCATATAACGGTAAATTTCAGAAATACTTGAAACTTCAATATTTCGAAATTTAAGGACGCTAATTTACTCAAAATTGATACACCCCGGTTTACCATGTAGCGGTAGCTCTCGGAAAGGTGAAAAACATATATTTAATACTTGCGCCGGGTATTTAATGTTCGGCTCGGTTCTTTCTTTCTTGTTTTATAACCAAAAACGAATATAATACCGTCAGGGGGTAATAATAAATAACACAAATCACTTATATAATAGTGATGTACAAACAATTTTCTTTAAAAATACGCATACTTTTTAAAAATATTTGTTTCAACACAGTTTGCAATTGGACTGCGCAATTATTAAATTGTTAAATTGTTGTTTTTAACTTGTTCTGAGCTGACTTGGGTTAGATGGTTCTAAGACAGTTCATATAACAACAGCTCCTAGATAGTTCAAAAAGGGTCACCTCCGAGCTAGAAAAAATGTGGTTAATTTTGAGCTGGTTCTAAGAAGTATAGTATAGAGCCTTTTCTTTAAACAAGCACGCATACAATTTTGTAAATAAAAAATACTTCATTTTATGTTTAAGCAGATATGTTTTTGCACTAATTTACTTTTTGATGCGAATTGTGCTTTAAAATTAGNAAAAATCGCCTATTTTTTAATAAAATTCATGAAATCGATTTAACAAATCTTTTATTTAAAAAATGAGATCTTTATACCCGAGCGCACTTGTGCACAACGGTATTATAACTTTGTTCACATAACGATTGTTTGTAACAGGCAAAACGAATCGAGATAGATATAGTCAAATTGTACACAAATGATCAGAATGAAAAGAGAAATCGATTAAGCAGTGACTGTCTGTCCGTCCGTCCGTCTGTGCACACGATAACTCGAGTAAAAATTGAGATATCTTAACGAAACTTGGTACGTGCCCTTATTTCTGGCGTATTGTGCTTGCCACATAAAAGCAAAACGTTGAAAATTATTGAAATCGGACTAAAATTATGGCCGCTTTTCATATAACGGTAAATTTCAGAAATACTTGAAACTTCAATATTTCGAAATTTAAGGACGCTAATTTACTCAAAATTGATACACCCCGGTTTACCATGTAGCGGTAGCTCTCGGAAAGGTGAAAAACATATATTTAATACTTGCGCCGGGTATTTAATGTTCGGCTCGGTTCTTTCTTTCTTGTTTTATAACCAAAAACGAATATAATACCGTCAGGGGGTAATAATAAATAACACAAATCACTTATATAATAGTGATGTACAAACAATTTTCTTTAAAAATACGCATACTTTTTAAAAATATTTGTTTCAACACAGTTTGCAATTGGACTGCGCAATTATTAAATTGTTAAATTGTTGTTTTTAACTTGTTCTGAGCTGACTTGGGTTAGATGGTTCTAAGACAGTTCATATAACAACAGCTCCTAGATAGTTCAAAAAGGGTCACCTCCGAGCTAGAAAAAATGTGGTTAATTTTGAGCTGGTTCTAAGAAGTATAGTATAGAGCCTTTTCTTTAAACAAGCACGCATACAATTTTGTAAATAAAAAATACTTCATTTTATGTTTAAGCAGATATGTTTTTGCACTAATTTACTTTTTGATGCGAATTGTGCTTTAAAATTAGGAACATATTTAGTGTTATTCTATAGGCCAATACCTTTCAAACGATACCTTATATATTAAGTTCCGGCCACTAGTTGGAAAGATATAGAGGTAAATGTGTTTTGGTTCGTGTCTCCACTACGAGATGCTTTGGTATGTATGTGGCGTCTGTACGTACATGAGCAAAATTTTTTTTTACATGGAAAAAAATCCGCAACATCCTCGACAAAAAAAATTCTAAAAAATCAACGGTAATTTTTAGCGACTTGAAACTTCCACTTTATTATACTAAAATTGAATGGGCTACAAAACTGCATACCCCAACATTTTCTATATATTCTAATTAAAAATTTTGAAATTTTGATGACGATTTTTTTAAGTTTGATTAATTTTTTTGCAATTTGTG